GAGTATTCCAAATTTTGGCAAACCAGTTTTATAAAGGACACAGTACTTGCTTTATTCTCTAGTCTCTTCCTCAGAGTTTTAAGACTGGATTTGGGGTGGGTTTTTTTATCCCTATTGAGCATTAAGGTGATGCTTTCATGGAATCATCTCTGATAATCCTAAGGTCTTGCTCCTTAGTAGCAACAGTCAGTTCACAGCCCATCGTTTTATTGGAAGCTATGGCTGCTTCCTCTGTATGTTCATCACTTTATAATCATGTACACTTAATGAGCCTGGAGTTGTTCTAAGCATAATGAGCAATTGGCTCCTGTAGAAACTTGATAGCAGGACCAGTGAAGTGCATCAGCAAATATTCCGTAAGAGCTATTAATAAGCTCAAATAGAGGGATGAGAAACACCTTTTGTAACATTCACCTTCCCAGTGAATGTGCAGTGGGTACAAACTACCACTACTGTTCCTACACTCTGACCACGTTCTGGGTTAGCAATCAGGTTGTACCATCCTCTTTTTTTATTAGATCTGCAAAAATGCAGATTTACTCAAGATATTCTTAAGATAATTTCTGCTTTTGCTCTTTGTTTACAAGTTATATAAACAGATGACCCGTTCTCTGTACATGCTGCTTTAAAGCTTCCTGTAAAGAAGCTCCATGTTTGTGAGCAAATCTGTCCATCTGATGCCATCATAGGAAACATTGTTCAAAAGCTTTCAGAAAGGATGGTAACATGCCCAGAAAACCCTGGATTTAAAATGCTGTCTCCCAAATTAAGTCCAGAAACTGTGATGCAAATTGAAAACCAATATTAAGGAGGAGTTTGCTCCAGGTTGGCCAGCATGCTTGAGAGGAACACATAGTTCTGTCCATTCTTACAGACTCACTAGTCCATGCCTAAGGAGTTAGACTTAGGCTGGAAGGTCTTAGGGTAAATAAATGAACGAATCTCAATCTACTAGTGCTATATATGTATTTTTTTATATATATAGCACATTCATACCGGGAGTGTACTCATAGACAAAGATTAAGAGGAGAATCAAAACCATTAATAACAAACACAGAACTTCCCACCAAAAAAATCTTATCCCACAGTATGTACTTCAAGTGATATAATGAAGAGAATGACATCTGATGACCTTGAAGAACTAAAATAAAAGACAACATGACACAGAACTACTTCTGTATTTTCCAATAAATCGGTTACTTTATAAAATAAATGAAAATACAAGAGAAACCCTCCTTAAATACTATGTGCAATAAAGAATTGTTTCTGTATGTTCCCCATTCATGGGCCAGCAACGGGCAAAGACTACTGAAGAACAGTAGCTCTTATGCAGCAGACAGTGATATTGTCTGCTGCACTATGACAGAGAATAGGTTGAAGCAGCCAATCTATTTGTAGGACACAGTGTATGTCAATCACCTGAATTTTTAAGATGTGTTAATAGATCTCCTGAGGTATTTAGTTAATACTGTGCTGCAACTCTTCCGTTCACATTAAGAGATTACCAGTTACTAAAAGGATGGCTCAAATGTCATTTGTCACATTAAATTCATTACAACTTTCAAAACAGAAAGTGGTTGTGCTTACTGAGATTGTTCTCATGTCTGGAAGAATGTTGTAATATGACAATAACAATAAAATTGTAATGTTCATGTAAGTAGCTAGCGGAAGAAAAAATAATAGCTATTATGAGATCATTTTTATGTCCCTTTTTAAAGACTCCAAACACTGTTTGTATATCAATCTGATAAATATTTCATATTACAAGTCTTCATTAAGTTTGGCATTGGGCTCATTAAAAGCCCATTTGTATGACCACAAGATGATTAGATGAAAAACTGTTTGCAGTCAATTTTAAATAGATGCATAACAAAACAAAACTAAATGACACATACTGGAGGCCTGCCAGGACGGCCCCTTTTTCTTTTTCCTTTGACTTCTGCTTCTTCAAGCTCACTGCCAGCATCTGAATGTGCAGTAGTTTCATTTGTAGAATCCCTAGGGGGGGAAAAACACTAGATAAATTAAAATGATTTGAAATCAACAAGTAATCTATAACTGACTGATTAAATATTTAGTCCTAAGCCAGGAAAAAAAAAAAAAAGAAAATGGTCAGCATTAAAAGGCTTGCCACATTTATTCTGCAAACTAAGGAACTAAGCATTGTTAGCCCTGGCAAAAAGCCTTACCTTTTTATGGGCTGGAATGTTATTTTATAGACTGGAAGTTAATTAAATGAACAGCTTCTTTTGAAACCACGTTACACTTCAAAAATTGGCTATATTAACCAGCACATTCTCAACACATCCATCCCACAATGTATTCACTAGTATCAACTTTCTTTTACTCTGAGTATCTACTTCCAAGCTGCTTTCAAGGCCATGAGAAAGCAAACTGGAGTCCAATCCAGCTATCACATCATTAGAACAGTTACACAAGTTCCCACTGGGGTTAAATTATGGTTTTAGTCACACTCAAAGACAATGGCATTGTGCAGCTGTTAAAAAAGAGACGATTAACACTGACCATCAGGCACAAACCAGAAAACTCACTTTGATCTGAAGACATTTATGATTCTTGCAGTTAGAAAAACATTTTCACTTGTACAATGAAAAAACCTTCACATTGCTCAACGACTATTAGCAGAGAAGCCCACAGTGTTGTTTTTCAATCATTCCTCTTTTAAGCTTAAGACTATACTTAAGCAGGGAAAAAACATTACCGCAATTTCCACCCACCTGCGACAAGCCAAATGCACAAGTACTACTCTGCCTTCAAAACAGACCTGGCTGCTTGAAGAAACTCAGCTTGTAATTGATCTTCTGAGGCATTAGATTTTGCCAAAGAAGAGCCCACAAGCAAAACCATACTTGTAACTGATGTGCTTTATTTTTAGTTTGCAAGACCGCCAGTGCATGTAAATGAAAGTAACTGTAATAATGTCCTAGATTAATCAAAGATGGGCCAAGTCTAGCTCTAGTCAGAGATTTCTTTAAATTCAGTATCACTTCCTTGAAGCGAAAGGAGTTAAATTGCTGTAAAACTTGTGCAAGGGGAAGGTGAAAAATCAGCCCTATTCCATTATTTTATACAATCTCAAACATAAAACAGTGTCTTCCACAATGTCTGGGGTTTTAATTTATTTTGTTTTATAAATCAGGAATATTTCATAAATTTGCCATATCACCAAGAAAGCGTTTAGTAATGCAGAAAAATACAAACATCATTGTATCAGAATCAAGAATGTTCTGATACTTCTCTCTACCGAAATTACTGTATTGTTCTAGGTCTGCTCTACCCCAAATAATTCTGCAGAACTATGATGAATTTCTAATATTAAGACATTATTTTCCAACCTTTTCCAATCTCCAAGCACAAAAACACCAAGGGGTCCACAGAATCCTTTACAAAAGCAAGAATGCAGCAGAACATAAATGAATCTCCTGTTCTGAAAGTAACTTCAATGGATTACCTCTAAATACTATATACACCCCAGAAAACCAGGCACTGTAGATTAAAAAACAGTATTTGAGTACATCTGAGTTCCCAAATTATATGCTTGTAAAACAGTATCTCTACAAAATACTGAAAATGCAGTTTTGCTGGGATAAATTTAAAGAGAAGTAGCTTTTTTACTTCATACAATATGAAATTTGAAAAACTCAGTATCAAGCTATGACTTTGGGGAAAAAAAAAAAAACCAAACCGCAAACCACCAAAAAAACCAAAAACCAAACCCAAGCTGTAAAAAGCCTAAAACCAAATTAATGAAACCCCACAAATAGTTCAAAACTGTTTGGTAAAATAGGGCCACACTGGTGAAAAGCAATGCAGTAAATACAGCTGAAAACAATGCCTGGATGGATGGATGGATCCAGGCTTTACTCAAAGACCAGTCATCACATTGCAAGTCAATTTGACAAAAATGCATATTGCCTCACAATGACAATTTTTTTTAAATTACTTTTGAGTACAGAAGGAACCCCATAAAAATATCTGCTGCTTTCTGTTGCTGTAGAGAAATTAAAGCCCATACTCTCTTGCTCTCTGTAAAAAAAAAAAAAAAATAAGCTTCTCTCTGGTCTACATAGATCCTTACTGGAAAAAATTTTAGGCATGGTGTGGTCTAAGCAATACACCCATTCTTGGGGAAACTAGCTTTTCTAGCTTACAAAATTGCACCCCTAATATCATCAGGATAAAGATTTTTATTAAAACCAGATTCAGCAGTTCTCCTAGGCAAATGGCTCAAACATTTCCCTTGAAACACTGGAGCTATACAAATAAATTAAACTGTACTACTATTTTGCATGCATCTAGTCCACAGAAGGCTTGACTTTGCTACACCCTCTGTCTTGGTTTAACAAAACCTACCAAGATTTATGTATTTTGTTCTAGAAATTTCAACTGTTTTGGAACACTGCATATGGAAGGAACATTTTAATTATTAACTACCTTCTCTTCTTTGTCTTAAACACTGTTGTCTTAAACCTGATAACCATGTTTCTCTAATATTTTTCTGGTAAAACTTCTCTGGTTTGCCAAAAGCCTTTTGGGAAAGGGTCAATAAATCAGTACTAAGGGTGAGATTCATCTAATCTAAATTTGAGACATAGTGCAGAAAACAGAAAATCTTAAGGTGCAACATACCTCATGCTAAGGTCAGTGTCCAAAATTGGTCAGACAGGTTATGTTTTATAAATTTTCTTTTCTCTCCATTGATGGTAACGAGATCTAGACAAGCAGCTCAAATACAAATGTTTAAAATTGAACAAGATGAGTCCCACCCTAACAATATGTGAGGCAGAGAGATTTCTTCTGACAAAGAATATAAGTATGTAAGGAATAAGGGGAAAACATCAGAAAGCAAGTTCCCTTCAATACTCACATTATTTCGAGTAGGGAGACAGGATCAAGGACAATCTACAGTCATTGGCTGATTTAACATGACAATAGACAATTTCAAGCAACATGGACTTCTGCCTGAATCATGCAGCTCCTGCACAGAAAGGCCCTTCCACTGTGGCCCTGAGTCCCTTCAGTTTGGGAGACAGTGCTTCTTGCTTCTGTCTGGGCCTTACAGTTGCTCTGGGTACACACGCATCCCTTTTCTTATTTCTGAACTCAGAGGAGGAGTAAAGCAGCTCTTAACTGCCTGCACTTCTGTCAGGTTTTTAACACTCAATGAGAAGAGCATCTGGCCAGCATCCATCTCCCTCATTCCCTACACATCCTGCAGAACGGCTAGGAAGTAATTTATCTGGTGGCAGTCATCCACATCTTAACAGACCAGAATTATCTTATCCCTATTTTACGTGTGTGTGACTAGTCACCTGAGGGGAAAACTTAGACTTAGTCACAATTTATCTTTCCTGAAGGTGTTAGGAGGGAAAGTAATCTGGGCCTAAGGAGATCTGCCTCATCTAAAAGGAGGAGAGGCAGCAGTGCCAAAGGCTAAACCTTTCCTCTCTAAGGCACCTTTGACACGATAGAGATGTAAGAGCATTTGGCAGATTGTGGGAGACCTACAAGATGGAGTGGGCAGAGTAAAGCAGCAATGTGATAACCCGTTTTAGGGGCTCAAATATAACTCTGCTTTTCTGTGGGGGCTAAAGCATGGGAAACATGCAGTAACTCCAGGATCCCTCCTAAAAACTCCAGATATGATTCTGAAGTTGTAACAACTAACCATTTAAACTATCTATAGGGTAATGAAGAATTAACAGATTACTGGGCAGCCTTTTGCCACATCACGTGTCTGAAGAACATATTTCCATAGACACAGTAAACTTCCCATCTCTACAAAATAAATCAAACCAAATTTACCTTCCTTCTATTACACAAAGCCCGAGCTATAGAGCTTATACCACCCTCCCTTAAAAACACACCACATCGAAAACCTAGGTTCATATATCACTTTTTGTAAATAAAAAAGCTTCTATAAGCTTTTATTGGTGGTGCTGAGGTGGCTCAAGGTTCTGGCAGAGATAAATTCAGTAATTGCTACCACCAGACTCAGACTTGTGAAGAAAAGCATTCACAAAGAAAAATGGCTAAACGCACAGGCTCATGAATCATGGATGAATCAGCTCTCATGGTTGATCTTCAAAATCTAAGGAGGAACATGCCTCACAGCAAATATGAGTCATCCCATTGAGAGAAGACTCATAACAGTCAGTCACCCAGGTCAAATACACCAGAGGTTTTTTCCCCCCTACATCTGAAACACCAATAAGTAAAATCTTGTCTTCACTGCATTTTGAAGCCACTTCTATAAATCCAGAAAGATTAAAGATTTCTCCTTTCATGTTCCTTCAAAAGAGAAGAATTTGGGAGGGAATATTTTATATGGTCCTAAGTAAAGTATATTAATGTATCAAATTGACTTTAGGACCCTTTGTTTAGAGGGGGTAGCCGAAAAGATTAGAAAACTTTATGATAAAGTAGAAATAAGGCATAGGAGCAGTAGATTATAATAATCCTTCAAAGCTGCTTATCTAAGTGCTAGAAAGAAAACCTTGGCTTTCACTGTGTGGAACCAGACTCTGACTTCTCAAATCTAAATCTGTGAAGCTAATAGCCCTAACCAAAGATTGCTTCAGCTTCTCTCACCCTTAGCCAGATGCCTTTCTGATGAAAGTCTGTTTGGGACCTACTGAATCAGCAGTTATCACTTTTTTTGATACCTCATTTCACACTAGACTTTATGTTCTGACCCCTCAGGAGAGTCTCAAAACCTTTATGTGCAAATCCTGCTGGGTTTTTTTGTTTTGTGGTTTGAGGTTTTGGGGTTGGGGGGAGGCCTTGGTTTGGTTGGGGTTTTTTTGCAGGGGGGGTGTGGGGGGGTGTGGGTGTGTTTGTTTTATGGTGGGGGTTTTTTTGGTTGGTTGGTTTGGTTTTGGGGTTTTATTTACGAGCAACCAAAACTATATATATTACTGATGATGACATCTCACCAACACTTTGCACAGTGGCATTAAATGATTCCCAGCTCTACCGGAAAAAATAACATACATGTTTCCTTTCATTTTTTAATATTGGTGACTCACAATCTTCCTCTGATTAAAGAATATGCTGACATCTTTAATGTCCCTCAGTTTTTTCACCTGGTGTGCAGAGTGACCAAATCTATTAAGATGCACTTTTTAAGCTTAAACTCTACAATATTTCATTCACTTTTTAAGGCCATCTAGCTTCTTGAACTGGGAATGGGAATATCCCTTTCCTCCCACTGCTGTGAGAGAATCTCCCACTTTTTTGTCGTTGGCACGTTTCACAAGCACACTCTCACTTCTTGAATGTGACACATCCAGGAAAATACGAATCAGGAAAAAATTTTTCCTCAACTACCCTCAAAGCTCATCAGAACCCCCTCAGGGCTGATGCTCTCCCCTCAGAGTTACCCATCAGGGTCAGCCCTGTCTTTAGTCACCTACTCACCCACAGTAAAAATTAACTTTTTCTGAAAGAGGTTTTAAAAATACAAGAAAAAATGCAGTACAGAACTTGTTATTAGGGTCAGAAAAATAACTTTACAATTGTCCAAACATTCAGTTTCTTAAATAAAGACACTTGCAATTTTAGTTTTGGAACATCACTCAATCTTGATAAACTGAGGCTCTTTTACACCCTGCAATAATTCCTGTTTTCATTATGTTCATTCCCAGGAAAAAACAAATAAAAAAACCCACAAAAAAAAACCCTTAACATGAGGTAATTTACCTAATGTTTTTGGTCTACGTGGTAAGGTGATGCCAGCAGGGCGGGCTCTGTGAGGAGAGAAGGGGCTGCCTCGTGCTGGCCACAGCCGGTTCTGGCCGGGTCTGACACGCCCGCCCCAGGGCAGAGAAGCCGGCAATGCCCCTGTGAGAGCTACTGCAGAAAAGGGCTGAACGCTGTGAGGGGAGAGCGACCAGCCCTGCCAGCAGCAGCAGGAGGGAGAAGGTGCTGCCCGTGCCCCGACACAGAGTCCCCCATGGCCCTGGGGAGCCCGTGCTGGAGCACGTATCCACACTGCTGGGGGTGTGGGTGGAGGAGTCAGGAATGAAGGGGTGAAGCTGAACTGGGGAAAAGGGCAGAGGGAACGCATTTTAGTTTTGGTCTTTGTTTCTCACCATCAGCCAAATCTTATTCAATTGGCAATAAATTAAATTAATTTTCCCCAAATGGAGTCTGTTTTGCTCCTGACAGTAAATTATTTCCCTGTCTTTATCTTGCCCCACAAGCTTTTTCACCTTACTTTCTCCTCCTGTCCTGCTGTGGAGTCGAGTGAGAGAGCAGCTGGGTGGGTGTCTGGCAGCCAGCTGAGGTCAACCCAACACATCAAATAAAGCTCCATTTTGTTCCTGTTTCTAAAATTCCTTTCTTAATTCTATTTACTCTCTAGCTCCTGTCATAGACTTCCACTCTATTCTTCCCAATTATTCACTTTATCCAGGTGCAGTGATGTTTCCATTTGTATAAGCCACTCATGTTTCCCAATGTGATCAAAACGCCACTTGCTTTCTTCAACTGCAGAGGCCAAAGGCTGTTTGCACAATAAATACAGCTCGTTGTAAGAAAGAGTGCACAACTGGAATACACAAATTCAGTCAGTTATGATTAAAACCCGTTCACATTTGTGAAATCTCACAATGCTCAGAAGCATAAAAGTAGCAAAGATCTTGTTTTGCTATTTGCTGCAAAGTTACATCTCCATACATATAAAGAAATATCTTTTAGATTGAAGTGTTTCATCTTCTACAGAGGTTTTCAGCTTAGGACAACACAGGAGGACAACAACTCTCAAGCTTGTACTTTATCCTCATGATCACCTCTCTGCTTACTTCTACCTTTTTAACACTGAAGATTTCAAGTATATAGAGAAACGTATACTCACTGTAGTACTGGCAAATCTGAAGTAATCATTTTTGCAGCACTCTTGAAAGTAAGAGCTACATAGAACTTCTTCTCAAAGTTATTATAAGACAACTACTTGGAAACCTCTTTCATTAAATAATGTCAAAGTCCAGTCTGCAAAAAAGAGAAAAAAATTGTTAGTTGTGATTCCAAAATAGTCATATATTGAATAAAAAAATCACTGTAAACAAAAATGGCCAATTTTGAAGTATCATCACTATTAAACCACATTAAATTTAGAATAGATCTCCCCAGGACAGCATAATCATGTTCTTGCATTTCATTTTTCACAATTCTGTTTAGGCAACTATTTTTTTTTTAATTACACAAACTATTTTGCATTACCTCCCATATTTGTCTACAGTAACTCTAATGTAAAAAACACAAGCAGAACTCTATCTGAGAAAATTTAAATAAACAAGATAAATATATAAGCATAAGCAATCAGAGAATGTATTGATCCAGATAAAAGGAATCTATTTTCTGGTCACACAAAAAACTAAACTTGCAAGACAAAGTTTAGTGTCACAAGAAACAGTCTCTCCTGGTTTCAAATCAAACCAAAAGATCTGTACCTAAGTATCATACAGGTTTTGACTGAGGCACAACAAAACCGGTAAAAGATAACATTCCTGACATTTCCTTTAATGGAACTACACCTATTCAAATTAGACAAACAGGCTCACAGTTTTATGTGACTGAATTTTGCAGAAGAGTACTCAGAAGCTATGCAACTCTCTAACTGCAACAGAAAGTATTTTATCCTGATGAAACCAAAGTTCTAAGTTTAAACAATCAACTAGACAGCATCTGTGGTACCACTACATCCACTAGTAAAAATCTCTCTATCCAAAAGACTAATCAAGGAGTTGACTAACGACAGCAGACGTGACTTTACCATTAAATAATAGCACAAAGTAACAGATGCATTAATCTGTGATGTAGTAAGACATAGAACTGCCATCCTATTCTTCCAGAAAATGCAGGTTCTGGAAAAACTAAAATGATTCGTTTCATTCTCCCCTTTTACAGATCTTGGGGTAATATCAAGAGCTGCATGGAGCACTGCAGTTGAGGAATGGTAATGAATACCAAAGACTTAACTGAATGTTTTTGTAAACATGGGATATTGAAAATATCTTTTATTTACATATTTAATTTCTTCTCATTGGGCAGTTTTTTTCTGTGCTCTAGTAGCTTTGCACAAGACAGTAGGAAAATCAAGCCAGAAAGAGGTAATGTGACTAGCACCACAGTATCTAAATAAAACTGCACCAGTGTAAGCAAAACAGTACAAAGTATTATTTTCCATCCTCCTATATGCACATCAGAATTTATTTATCAAAACCATAATTGTACAGCATGAACAGACTTTTTTGCCTCTGGTTATTACAGTTCCAATTAGACTCACAGATGCATACAACTAGTTCTTCCAGTACTTAGTACTTCATGCTACCAACAGTTTTACTCACAGTATCTCATCACCAAATTTAAATTTTTCCTATATACTACCATCTCATTGGCCATTTTTTCTACTGTATCACTAAAAAGCCACCTTGTTACAAAACCAGTGCTCACAACAGAAAAGGTTGGCATAAAAGCTCTCCAGTTTCACTCTAAGACACAAGCAGTCTGAGTTCTTAAGAACAAAAATGGTACATGATATGCTGTTTGTGCTATTTCCATAACAATGTTTCTTCATCAGAAACACTTCGTTTTAAAGGATGTGATTAGTCTTAACAGGGGAATGACATGTCCATTTACCAACATCAAGCAACCATTTCAGGCACTTGTCAAAATTTATTATAAACAAACATAGCATCAGATTGAATTAAGGTTTGAGTTGATTTACTACACGAAGAAAAAAGGGAATGTTCAGATCTCTGAAATGGACAGGTTCCCTACAATCGCAACAACATGCACTCTGGTGGTCAGAAAATACTAATATTTAGGTATAACAAGAAAAATATTTAATGAAATCCTAAAATAGAAGAAGAAAGGTTTTGATTAAGCTTCTGCAAATATTTTCTTCCTGGTGCCGTGACAATTAGATGTACACACTTTTGTAACACCTTCCCTTTATTTAAAAAGTACGGGTTTTTTGTACGCACACAAGCACACATACACTCTTGAGTACACTAACTAGACCTTAAAGGAAACATACCCATCTTGGATCCTCAGATTATCTAATTCTAGCAGGATACTGGGACATCAATCTTACTTTTCAAAAGAGTTTTCAACAGAAGTTCAAGAAAATTGATGTGCATTTCATGTGAGATTTTCCACAGATGTTAAAGTCATCCTGCACAACTGTTAGGTGGTATTCCTTTATTTTCTAACCTAGTTATTACTCTTCACAACTGTTGTGTTGTGCATGCTTGGATATAGTAACCAGCAGCATACAACTGCTCTAGGGAAATGCTTTTCACACTTTCTAAAAGTCCTGTCCTAGAAGAAAGCATGGAGTGAAGGGTATATAGAGCCAGAGGAAGAGGGGAGCTGTTTCATTCAGAAGCAACCTGAAGAACCAAGGAAGCTGGACCCACAGCCTTAACGCCATGGTAGTGGCAGACAACCTGACACATGGGGAACTGCAAGGTCGTGTGGTATTTTCTCATAGTCCCTGTGCTGAACAGGAAACTGCAAAACAGTGCTGGAAAGAAATCCATCTGTATGTGGTTAGGTCTGGACTGGACCATCATCTAGAAGACGACAAAGCCCTTCTACTGTTTTGTGTTAATAAAGGCACTTGGCAAGGGTTAAGCCAAAGAACGCTAAAATACAAGAACTGTCAATGCTGATGAGCTGGAAAATGAACAGCTCAGAGGCAGAAGCCCAAAAAGAAAAGGCACTATCCTGCCCATTTTGTGGGACTGATGTCTTACATTGCATGGAATAATGCCTCCCCGTTACACAATCCAAGTCATCTGCATCCCTCACATGCATCTAACAGTCCTGCTGGCTGTTGTGCTCAGGATGCTAGTTCTTTCTTCCTCATCCCAGACACTCAGCTGAAGTTAGGAAACCCTTAACAGTCTTGGGATAACTGTCTTGCAACTTTCCTCAACAGTAACATTTCTATAAACTCAAAGAAACACCACCACTTGCTTCCAAATTTCAGTCTTAAATTATCACCCATGTTGCTTAAGCTTGGTTTGGAAATAAAATGAGTCACTATAGTGACTAATGAAAAGCTTTATCTGCTTGGAACAGAGTTCTCAATTTAGCCGTGCAATTACGTTTGACAACTGTGGAAAAATCATTGATCCTTATGGACTGCACAAATGTGAACCTTCACTTTTTTTTCAGTTTTAATAAAAGAAACACCTGTTACTTAAAGATGTTCTTACAAACAAGAAAATCGACATCCTCAGCCTGAGAATTAAGGCATTGATAAAAAATGCTGAAAGCTTGACACAGATTCCCATTTTGCCACCTTTCTCCTGGGGAAGAGTGGGGGAAGGAACAGTTCGTACTTTTGCATTTTGGGTTATTTAAACTATAATAAACACCATATAGCTGAACAATTCCTTTAACTTTGGGGTCAACTGCTTCTATTTTAAGAGTTTAAAAAAATCTGATGTTTTTATTTAATCCAAATTCTAATGACCTTAGCATGTCTGCAGCTTCTTAAACCTGCACATCTGTATTTTAAGATGACATAAATTTATGTTGGCAGAGTTAAAAATGACCCATAGAAGAATATAAAGCAAACAGTAGAAAAGACTATTCAGTTGAAACACAGAATGGGGGAAAAAAAGTAAATGGGGGGGTGGGGAGTGGGGGCTTTTGCTTCTCTTTTTTTAACCATGCACAATACCCAGGGCAGACATAATGACCATTATATAAAACTGCCTCTTTTAAGAAAAAAAAAAAACACCTTTTCTAGTAAGTTGTCCATTTTATGATAATTTTTCAATAAATATCTCATAATGAGCTTAGCTTTAAGAAAGGCTCTACAATTTTACAACAATAAGTCTGATATATGCATTCCATCAATATTTTCAGTAGTTTCCACTAACAAATAGCTACCTATGTTTTTTTGCAGTCTTTACATTGTTTATTTGCCTCTCTGGTGCTGAAGTAATCTACCCATTTTAGCCAACCAACAAACAAATGAAAAGACTGACATGAACTCTGAAATCTGACAAGGGTGTTCCAAGCAACTATTAGGTAGCAACAACCAAATCAAGTTCAATTAACCTTATTATGAACTAGATACTTACATGTTACAAAGCTGAAACCAACACTTAAAACAAAAACCTGCCACAACTACTAAGTTTAGCAATAAGAGTTACATCATTATTAATTCTATTGCCTAGACGATATCCGAAATAAAAGATAACTGGTATTTGACAGACTCATTCAAAACCTTTTCCTTGTTGACCAAGTGACCTTGTCCCATCCAAGTGCAAAATACATTCAAACGACAGCTCGCACTAACAGAACAACATCTACTGCTACTTAATTGGTAATGCCTGTATGCCATAACTTCATTTTCCATTTAAAATTACTTTGCTTTCTCCCTCAGTGCTCCATGTTATGTCTCTTCTTGCAAGTTGAAAATTGATAAAAGCAGTATACTTCTCCATCCCATTAAGGCCCAAAAGAAATCTGAGAACTCCAAACGTACTGCTCGAGCAGACAAGAAGCTGTAACACACAATGGCGTGCCATGCCATTGCACAGCACCATAAAACAAGGCATGTAAAACTCAAGTTTTTCATATTCAGTCTAGAGACAAGATTTGTCCCCTCACTATTCTTGCCAACAACAGCGTTTGACAGCTAGGAAAAGGCCTGCATCAGCAGCAAACGATAGTTCTGTCAGAAGGCAGCACGTTGCACACCAAGGCAGAGCTCCAAAAGCTTTGATCAACAAGGTGAGAGGCACAAGAGGATCTCCCAGCCAGGCAGATAAATTCTAGCCTTTTACTGCTTTATCCAACCCTGTGCATGGCCTTGGGCACACCTCTTAAATCCTTCCTACTCAGCTATCCCATCTGCAACA